AGCTCCCGTAGAATTTTTCCCAAGCTCCTATCCCGGCTCTCAAGTTATCTTCGCGTTCCCTTAAAAGTTTTCTTAATGCGGTTAAAGTCTCAAGTTCCTCTCAATTTTCTCTTAAAATGCTACGAAATTTTTTAGATTTTAAATCTCTATCGAACACTTGTCTTTGCTCCAAGTTTATCTCGCTTTCCCATAGAATTATCCTGAAGTACATCTCAAGCTCTCACATTTACTGCATGTTATCGTCAAGCTTCACGCAATTTCTTTCTCTTTTCAATTGCCATCTGGTTCTCAAGTTCCTATCGCTTGGCATCAACCCCCCCTCCCCCATCGAATTTCCGCAAGTTCATATCAAAGTTTTAAGAGGGGGGGGGGCAGTGTAGCGAACATTCCAGAAATCTCAATAGACACCGAGGCGCCATGAAAGATCGGCGGACGTGACGTAGTATTTTCGAGAAATATGACGTGTTTGTTCGAGAACATTCTAAAGCGTCCTTCAGCACTCGAGAACATTCTAGAAATAATGTTGTTTGCTATATAAGCAAACCGAATTGTGTTTGGTTTCTACATCGATGCGTTCTTGTTATGTTATAATTTTTTTTAAGTTGACAACATATAAAATATTTAGAACATTTAAAAAAGTTACAGATTTAGGAGAGGAAGAAAATTTCATCTAAAGCGATTGTAAAAGGCAAAGCACTTAAAAATGGATAAAAGCATTTCTTTTAGCAGAATTTTAGCATTTAAAAGAAAAAAAACGCTAAGGGATACACATTTTTAATCTCTTTTTATTTAAACTTTGATAATGAAAAAGTGAATTTCCACATCAATCATCAGGTACCTTCTGATTCCAAATAAATTATAAAAATTAACCATGCCGTGAGTAAGATTAAAAAACGTTTGATACTTTACTCTCATGATCACTCACTTGAAGAAAAGAGATCAAATTTTTAGAAAATTTACGATTTAATCAACTTGATTAATAACTGAGCAGTCTTTTTGAAGGTTAAGAAGGTAGGGAACTTGATTCGAACAAGAAGGTAACCTGTTACGTTATGACGCCTTGGCATAATAGCAAATCTATCAAATTCCATCATACACAAAATTGTAGAGCACTTGATTACTTGCTTGATTTCAAAGGAAACTAGATCCAAAAAAGG